GCATTTGTGACTTTTATGGGAATTAGCCCCTCGATTTGTTTGTTTCCCTTTTTCTCACTAACCAAACAGCCCCTTACATGATTTCTCACCGTCAAAGTAACGCATTTGTCATGCCAAACACTGTTCACTTGCCAATGCCGTCGTCTTGTACCCCTGAAGAACCATAAAGTAACGATTTTGAAATGAATCACGTCGCCGATACATATGGGGCCGACCATTAAGCAATACACTCCTTGAATCCTGAGGTGGGTTTCTCCATTTTGGGTGATACGGGGGTTGTTGGAATTCAAGGATGGAGGAGGATAAGTATGCTAAAGAGTTGGAGGTTGCTGTCAGGATTGTGCATATAGCGTGTTCACTGTGTCAGAAAGTGCAAAAAGGCCTGCTTTCCGCCAGTAATGAACAGGTTAAATCTAAGGACGATGATTCTCCTGTTACCGTAGCAGGTATTTGAAGCATTGGATTGAGGCTTTTGATTTTTCTTTCTTTTGAATTGTGGTGTTAGAGTTGTTATTTCGTTCGATGGGATGCTTTGAGTGAGGTGTTTGATAATGGGTTAATTTTGCTTTCTGTTTTTGATGACAAGCATCTGAATTCTGAAGTGGGGATGCCTTCTGTTTGATTACTGTCTTTCTGTTTGTTTGCCAGGAAAGAAGAATTGCGGAGGAAATTAGGAGAAATTTTGAATTAAATTAGTTTTTTAAGTGATTAGAATGCTAACCTTAACAATGCCTCTTGGCAACTTTAAGTATGTGGAATTCTTTGGATTGTTCATCAATTATTTTGAGGAAAAATAAACAAAAAAAAAAAATCCAAATAGCCGCATTTTGTAGTTTGAATTTACTATTCTAGCTTCCGAGGAAATAAGCCCCTGTTTGTATGGTGCTTCAGTTTTGTTTATTAATGCTGAACCATCTTATCAATTTGGGATTCTTAGTTGGGCAAACTGCTGCCACTTTGGAAAGATGGACAGGTTTTAACTTGTTATGTAGTAGGCCTGTTATAGCTGTTCTAGTTTGTAAATTCCTATAAACTTTTGACGGTTGGTTCTAGTGTCAGCGTGTATTTTCTTGGTTTTTGCTTCAGGACATGAGGTTAGAGGAGCTTTGGAGATGTCCTGTTGTCTAGCAACCTACCAAAATTGCTCTTTTTATAAATCTTCATATTCTCTTGGTTATGTTCTGTAGTGTATCTGCTGCCATGCATCAAATCCTTGATTCTCCTAATGTTATTGCATGAACAGATTGGAGTGTCCAAGCAGTTGTTAGTTGGTTGCTTTCAGAAATCTTTGGGGTTCAAAATGTGTCTATTGTAGCTGAAGAAGATGTTCAAACACTCTCCATGTCTGATTCATCAAATCTACTGACGGCTGTAGTGAATGCTGTGAATGAATGCCTAGCCGAAGCAGCAAAATATGGTCTTCAGTCTCCCAATAAAGCACTGGCAGCTTCACAGATTTTTGAAGCTATCAGTCAATGCAACTCAACTGGGGGCCCAACTGGAAGGCATTGGGTACTTGACCCTGTTGATGGAACTTTAGGATTTGTACGTGGGGAACAGTATGCTATTGCTCTGGCCTTGATTGAGGGAGGAGAACTTGTTCTTGGAGTTCTTGGTTGCCCTAATTATCCAATGAAGGAGTGCCTAAATTACCACCAAACCATGTCAGTCTCTCCCTCCTCTTCTGATAGTTGGGAAAAAGGATGTGTGATGTATGCAAGGAGAGGAAGTGGCCAGGCATGGTTGCAACCATTAATCCATGGAGATGTGAAGTTTGAGTGGCCAAATTCTGCAAGATTGATCCATGTTTCTTCCATTGATGATCCATCTCTTGCAACATTTTGTGAACCCGTGGAGAAAACAAACTCAAACCATGCCTTCACAGCAGGACTTGCTTCCAGCATGGGGCTTAAGTATGTTTTGTTCCCTTTTCACTTCTGGTACTATTTTTAAATTGAATCTTTTTCTTCCTTTCTCAGTTTATGTGGGTTTGAAAATATGATTGGCAGAGATCTAACAGGGTGTGAGGAAAGTTTTATTTTGTAATTATCTAGTTTTACCAAGTGCTGTACCCTGATTCATGCTCTTGTATCTTCTTATACACTATAATATAATGCAGAAAGCAGCCCTTGCGTGTCCATAGCATGGTCAAATATGCAGCTATAGCTCGTGGAGATGCTGAAATCTTTATGAAGTTTGCAAGGTCTGGGTACAAGGAGAAGATATGGGATCATGCTGCAGGTGTAGTCATCGTAGAAGAGGCTGGCGGTGTGGTAACTGATGCAGGAGGCCATTCCCTGGACTTCTCAAGGGGACTATATTTAGAAGGCCTTGACCGGGGCATTGTTGCTTGCTCTGGATCAACCTTACATGAGAAGCTCATTGGGGCTGTTTATGCTAGCTGGGATTCTTCTCATCTCTGAGACTTTCATTATCTTGCCAATACACTGGTTCTGCAGTCTTTTGGTCATTCAGGCAAGGTAAGCTCTTCTTCAAGACTTGTCATGGTTCTCACCTGAGCTCATTTCCATTCTTTTCAAGATCATGTATTTAGTTGAGTATTTGATTAGAACTATTTCAGTACAAGCAATTTGCTGGAACGGATGCTGGTGGAAGCGGTCTGACACACAAAACAATAACAGATAAGTTCAACATAATTGACTGAACATTTTGAGAATATAGTAACTTCCATCAAGGCTTTTTGACACGCTTGAGCTCCATCTTTATGATGCGTTGTGGTGTTTCTCAATCTTCACAACGTTATCCCTAGTGAACATTTCCAACTGCTCCCCATATAATTGGGAGATCTGACTGATTCTATGTCTGTTCAAGCTCATTAGCTGATATATATGACTTTTGGATGCCTTAACTGAAATTTTGATTCCTTAGTTGCTTTATAACCAAACACCAAGCTCTTCTAGGCTGTTGGCCCATAAAAGCTCTTACAGGCTGAAGGTTCCTGGTCAGGCCCGTACGAAGTTGGGCTTGGGCTGGTGGATGGCAAAGGGAGGTAAAAAAAATAAGTATCATGCAAGGGGATGAACATCATTGATTACCTATTAAAGCTTCAAATAGAGGCTCAAATAGACTTAAAAGGTCGGAAGGCCAATATGTAGGCACTGGGTCTTTATCTAAATATTTAATTAAGTGCTCTTAAACTAAGGCTTTATTTAATATGTTTGTGGCTTTTTATGTTTAGTTCTAGTTTTCATAAATTTTACAATTACTAAAAATCAAAACTAATAATAAAAAACTAACAATATGTTTATGAAAAATTTTAACATTAACAATAAAAAATATAAACTTGTTTAATAATTGTGTACACCACATTTGACAATTTTGTTGATGATATTATGTGTCTCTAATGGGGATCCAATGACCACAATTTTTTCTATACCATTGGGAATTCAAAAGATGATTAAGCAAAGATCTTAGTTTAATTCCATTTCTATCAATAGTTAGTTCTTTACGTTTCTACCAGTTTTGATTTACATTTTTGATAGTACGCTTAGTGTTTAATTCCAACTAAATTTTAAGATTTCTATTGCACTTTTTAGTTTAATGTTCTCCCATTATCTTAGGTTTAGATCATCCTTTATTTTTGCCATGCACTCCTTTCCCATCTTTTTTCTTTCTGCCTATTTTTGCTTAACAAACTAACCTCATTGTGGCCTTAGATGTGGAGAGTCTCTGGTGTTCTTTTAAGGTAATTATTTATAAACTTTTATCTAGGAATGCATCATCGTTTCTGCAATAATTATTTAGTTAAAGTATTATTGGCATAATTAGTTAATCAAGTGGCATTCTTTCATCAATTTTGAAACAAGTTCCTACGCTTAAAAGAGATGAGGATCACCAAAAATCCTTTTTTCTTGCTTTGAGCAAAAGAAGTGACATGTCTGGGCAACTTTTGCCATCAACGGCTGAGGGAAGAGGATTTTGGAGAAAACAAAAAATCAAAATTAATAACCAAAAATTACAACCATACTAATGAAGTATAAATAAAAAGCCCGCACATGCAAGTGAAGTTACCAGTTGGAAAGAAAATCAAAGGGCTTGAAAATGAAATTGATAGTGATGGTAGCAATATCGTATCAACTTTTCTCAGCTCTTATTAATAGGGTTTACAAATTTTTACTAGTGCCTAGAAATCGACCTTTTCCCCCACATAGACAAATAATCTTCTCTCTCCCTCTCTCTCTTTTTTTTTTTTTTTTTGGTAAGAATAGTTTTGTTTGGTAAAAATAGACAAATTCAGTCGACCAGGTTCTTCAATGGAAAAACAAGTGCATGCAAGAGACAAAATGTAATCTATTATCCATCAACCATTGTTTAATTTAATTAATTAATCCCAGTTGACATTAATTAATTTTGAAATTTTGAATATATGCACTGACAAATTCTAGAGTTAAGGATTTGTATTGTAAAAGGTAGTTCTCCCCAATTAGAACTGCATTAGTCAAGGTTTAGGTAAAGAAATACACAAGGTATCAATTGGGTTAGGTAGGTGTTATATGGACCACCCACAATTGCTATCCTAAATCATTCCATTGTTTTTGACATTACGTTGCTTCTTTGTTACAAAAATGACAAATCCATAGCCTTTGCAGCTTTCAAATTCGATGGCCAGAAAAGAAAAATTAACATTTGTTTATTCAACAAATTATGTGATTAATAAGATCCCTTGGAAGTTTTCAGAACTTTAAATCTTTCTCGTTGTCTTTTCTTTGTTTGAATTGAATATTAAGATATACAAAATGGAAATGGGATAATTCTTCTGTTTTCTGAATAAATGTTAAATTGTTAATCTCACCTAGTATATATGATTGCCTAGTATTGGAGTTTGATTGAATTTGATAAATAAGGATCCACAAAATAACCTCAGAGAGTACTGTTTACACTCGTGTGACAACAAATTATATACATAAAATAATAATTTTTTATTTTATTATCTGAATTATATCAAATTACAAAATCAATATCTTTATTGAAAAATACCATTGTAGGGGAGGATGTAACAAATGACCTCTTCAAATCTTTATCTCAACTGAATTCTGAAAAACAGAAATAAAACTAATTAATAAAAATACAAATTTCCAAGTGATTTTTTTTTAATAGTATTTGGATACAGACTTGGTGTAAGTGGGGTAGTATGCAGCTTTAATTAATTGAATAGAATATTTACCCAAGAAAAATTACGAATGGTTCATGCAAGACTCTTTCACATATGATATGAACCAGCCCAAGACATCTTCTCCATATATAGTCAATTAATAAAAAAAGGTTAAATCTCCATTTTGGTCCCTAAACTATTGTATGGACCCCTGATTTGGTCCTTAAACTAAAGAAATCCCTGATTTGATCCCTAAACTATTGTACAGACCTCCGATTTGGTCCCAATTGTTTATAATTTGACCTAAGTTGGTCCTTGAACTATTATACGGACCCACAATTTGGTCCTTACTGTTCACAATTTCGTCCCCATTTGGTTCTTGAGCTATTATTTAACAGAAAAATCAAGTTGGAGCTAAATTGGTAAACAGTAATGACCAAATTAGGGATCCATATAATAGTTTAGGGACTAACTTGAGGGTCCACACAATAGTTTAGGGACAAACTCAGGGATCCATACAATAATTCAAGGACCAAATTAGGGATTTCTTTAGTTCAGAGACCAAATCTGGGGTCCATACAATAGTTCAAGGACCGAAATAGGGGTTTAACTTAAAAAAAGGAAATGCTATTGAGACAATTTTTTTATTTTATCTTTTTGTATAATCTAACTTGTCATTAAAATGATTAGTTTTTTTAATTCATATGAGACTCGTAATATTGAATGCATTTATTTATTTAATAACAAATGAAAATTGTATAAAAAAAGTGAGATAAAAAAGTTATCCCATTAGCACCACCCTAAAAAAAAAAAAAAATCATATGGTTTAATTTTAATACCCATGAATTAGCTTGTCTGATTAACTGCATTAGATTATCTGATTTTTATTCTCTTCGTTTTTATTGAGGTAGATTTTTATATTTATTTGGGAGATGTGCCGACAGTTGCCCATGTTTAGTGCCATTGTCTTCTTAATATATATATGTTAGGACCTTAGCATCAGCGTCATATGAAAGCCGTTTCTTGGCCTTTATCATTGATTTCTACCAAGTTCTGTCGGTTCATAAATGTTTTTAACTTATTAAGTTCAAGAATGATCACACGTTTTGATTTTTTTTTCTGGACAAAAATGCATAAAAACTTGTATTTTCCTTGGTATATTTTGATACATGTAATAAAAAATGTTTAAAAAATTTGAGAGACGAGGTTTTAATTGGTTTAGCTTGCATAGGATTAAGGGTTGTGGGGATAGTGATTCCACCAAATTGCAAAGGTATATAGAATGGGGATCCAATATTGGGGCTTAATGATTAGTAATTTAACGTATTAAACACTGTTTAAGGGGGTAATCATTGTACTTAGGCCATTTGAGGTAATCAATACCGACACCCTAACAAAGTAAGCAAATTAAGAATCTTGCACCCATCATTGTCTTTAAGAGTATATATGTTTGGTTAATGGGAGGAGGAGAGAGGGAGAGATAATTGTTTTATCAATTAAATTATAAAATTTATTAATGTATTAATATAATTGAAATTTACAATTTGAATCTTAAAGATTAGTACTTAGATAATTTATTTTCTTAAATACATTGAACTAATGACAATATGTATTTTTAAAATTATTTGAAACGAGATTATTCTTGAAAATAGTAAAAAATGATATAAAAATATCATGATCATATAAAAATAAATAAACATTTGTATTTAACCTTATAAGTAGACCTAGCAAATGGGTGAGTTGGATCGGGTTCAAGATGGGTCAACTTGGGTGACGAGTTATATGAGTTGAGTCGTAAACCGGATGCAGGTTGGAAAAATTCAATCCTAACTCGATTTTAGCGAGTTACGGATTAACCCACAAATTGATTTTATTTTTATTTTTTTATAATTATTTTTATTAATTTTATTTTATATAAATAAAATTATATATATTTAAATCTAATTCAAATATCATAACTTATTAACAGTAGGCATTTTACAGTTTCCACTACAAATATTTAAATTAAGAAAAAATCATAAAGTTATAAATAACAGTAAGTTAATTAATAATATTAAACTTAAAATATTTAAATTTCTTAAAAAATAAAGTTTTAATTTTACAATCATCTCGAAATATTATCAGGAAGTTTAAACCCTTTTTTTAATGATGAAATTGCTCTTCCAATAACATCTTTTACTAAATTATTATATTTATATCCTAATATCACATTTTAAATTTTTTTAGTTGTATTATCATTTAATTCATTTATGATACTTGATAATTAGATTAAATCCACAAAATTTCTAGAGAAATAAAAAAAAATGATGAGTAAACATTCAAAATAAATTCAAAACCATTTGAATAATGAAAATGAGGTTGAAGAGTGTGAATTAATAGAGAAAGTTATCAATAAAAAAAATTAATTAAGAATAATAAGTATAATATTTTTAAAAATGATAATAAAAAATAAAGTAAACGGCAGCAAGTTAACCTTAACCAAACCCGTAACTTGTATGGGTTGATATTACGGATTATTTACTGATTGAGATATGTACACTATAACTCATTTTTACGAATTGAGTTAAGATTAAGTAGATTTTTGCCACTTCTACTTATAGGTCATTTAGTTAAAAGTACATCTCTCAACTTTATAAATTGGATTCAAACTCTTTCCTCGTCCTTAAAATTTATACTTGGTAAAAAAAAAATAAATAAATAAATAAGTTTTTTTTTTTTGGTACATGATGAATCATTGAAGAATGTGAATATATTTCAAGCAGTTAATGAAATATAAAATTTTGATTAATTGAATTCAAACATTAAAATTTGAAACAAACCATTAAATCCGAAAAGGTCAGCTCAAATAAATAAATAAGCATTTACCAAGTGTTAGATGGTGCCATTTCATGTGGAAGGTAAGAGCTTGGGTTGAGCCTTATTTACGGAGTCGGTGCTCCATTTTAATTCTTCAATCTTACGTAGTCAGCACTCAGCAGTCAGTTTGACTTCGAGCCAAGAAGAAAAAGAAGAAGAAGAAGAAGAAAAAAAAAAAAAAGGAAAAAGGAAGGAAGCCCAGGGAAAATGGTGCAGTCAAAAATAGAGTTTGTGGGCTTCTTTGAACAGGTCGCCTTCTGTCATTGCCGCGTTCCATTCCTACTTTGCGGAGATTCGACCCCACTTAATTAAATTATTATCCCCTTACATTTTGCGTATAATTTTTTTTATTAAAATATCAAAAAATTTACTTTACCATGTGAATTATATTAAATTATGAAATAATAATTTTTGAATTGAAGAAGGCTTTTAATATTAATTTTTTTATTTAAAACTTTTAATTTTATAATTTAATACAGTTTAAATTATAAAACAATAAATTTTAAAAAAATTTAGCTCCTCTTTTTCTTTTACATTATTACCCTCTACTCTATTACCAAAACACCCTTGGTTACCGATCCTTTTTGTAACTTCCTTTCTTTTAAATATAATTTATTTATTAATTTATTCTAATTCCATTATCCCCACTAATTTCTAAGAGCTCTTTTGCTTAGGGGACAATACTTTTTCAAAAGCGTTAAGAGTAAAGTTTATTCAAAATATTTGCATGATGAAAATATATGGTGTGATCATGATGAAAATATATTGTGTGATCATGAGAAATTGTTAAAGTTGATTAGTTTTCATAAAATTTGAAAATTTAGCTATAAGAATTTTATTTTCTTTAGAAATTACAAAATGTATAGTATTCTCTAATAATCTTTTGATTAGATCGTCTAATTGAAAAATAAAGAAACATAAATAGGAGAGTTTCAATTTAATTGGAACATTTAACTTTAATATTAAA